CGCCGCTGATAAAGTCACGCTCTCGAGAACCGGGCTCGCCTCCCGCCCGCTCCCTCGCTTGTTTACTTACGGGGTCTTTTATTTTTAACGGAGCAGTTTGTACACGTGCTTTGCCGAAGCCGGCTGGACGGGGTTCGAGCCTGAGAGTGGGAAAGGCAGAAATCTGCGCCCTGAGCCAAATTGCTCAAAGAAGAGCAAGTTCGGTTATTATTCATCTCCACGAGGGAAGTCTTATCTTCTACAAATATTTGATACTGGGACAAGTCCAATAATTAACAAGAACAATCAAACAATTTCACTGCCTTCTTGGGGATTTAAAAAGTCATCATCTGGAATTCATGAACATTACAACCTTTTTTTTTTTCCCCGTGCTTGGATATGTTACTGTATATGATCTTTTCTCTCTGTGTGTGTGTCCCTAAGTGATTTTACCCTTTCATGCAAAAAGATGCAAACCATTAACAGCACAGATAATATTCACAACTGCTGATTCAGTGAGACTTCAGACCTCTCTGTAGGAGTGGTGAGAGAGGGTGGTAACTCTGACGGGAAAAGGAGAAAAAAAGAAAAGAGCTGGAGGAATGCTTCTTTCTTGGCTTCCTCCCTACCTCTGTAGCAGGAACTCCCACGGGAGTCCTGTGGGTGGGATGGGAGCAGGGCACATGGGAGCTTGGCCAGCTCTGTATGGGTGCAAGCACCAACTCCCCAGCCAGCCCCATAACTCCTCATAAGCAGAGGAAAAGCCAGGCTGGCAGAGGAATGGGGCTTCTGAGCTCTGCAGCAGCATTTCTGCACAGCTGGGGTGCCAGGGGGGCAGCGTGGCTCTCAGGGCCTGCAGTGAGCCAGGCAGGACAGACAGGGAGTGGACAGACCGAGGGCCACGGCCTGATTGTATCCAAAAAACCCAAGCACTAAGCCAGCCTCAAACTTGCCTCTTCTGAGTGAAATTGAGGATTTTGGTAAAGGTGGCCACATGGGGGATGATGATGTTTGTCCCTGCACCATCGCTGTCACCAGCTGTGCCCAGGTTCTGCCTCTGGCTGTCAGAGCTGCACCTCCTCAGCCCCCTCCTGCTCCTGCAAACCCTGCTGCTGATGGCTGCTGGAGGCACTGAACTGCTCAGGCGCGAGGCTTCGCTCTGTCTCAGGTCATCTCAGACCTGGGGACTGCAGCCAGACTTCCAGGGGTCAGCCTGACAGGCTTTGTGTGTCCTCCCCACATCCTCCAGAACTCTCCTCTATTCATTCCCTGCCCACACCTTTTTTTTTCTTTGCATGAGCACTGCCCCCCCCTTTACTACTTGCTTTGTGCCAACTCCTCCTTACAATCATGATAAAGTTCCTTGCAGTTCAGCACAAGAAAGGAATAAGGGTGCCTGGGTCCAAAACTAATCTGGTGCAAAGAGAAAAAGCCAAATGCGGGTGCATTTTATTTAAGATCAAAAGCACAATGGTGTGAGATTGTATTATGCTCTCCACAGGAGCTGTATTTTTCTAGTTCTACAATAGGATTAAGGTGTTCAGTGGAAAAGAGAATTACAAAAAAAGAAAAAAAAACAGAAAGAAAGGAAGGAAAAAAGCCCCATTGGACTTCAAGCAGCTGCATTTCAGTTTGTCTAGAATAATGAGGATATTTCATTCCTCAAAGGCTCTAGCATCCTATTTCCAAATACTTTTTTAAACAATTGTGAACACCAATTATAATTTAACTTTTACTATTTATTGCAAATAATTAATTCTGGAGGGTTTTATGTATTTATTTTCTTAGAGGAAGGATGTTGCCATTTCTGCATTGACTCATTTCAACATTTTCAGTCAACCAAATGCTTTTTAGTAGAACCTAAAGACATCTCCTTATTTAGCCCTGCATATCTGAGTGCACAGGATGTTGAATGTTAGCACACACGGGCTGGACACAGCTGGGAGCACAGCTTCAAGCCACTTTTCCACCCTGAATAACTAAAGAAAGCACAAAAGAAAATTTTCAGTGCAACTTACCCAGTGAAAGGTAGGCTACTGGGTAAAAATTGCTAGCTATTTTGAATTTGCAATTTGCAAAGCTCTGGCTAGCTCAGTTCCCAGCACCAGGGAGGCATGGCCTGAGCCTGGTGCTGTTCTAGTGCTCATGGAACATGGCTGTTGAAATGAAAGGTATCACACATCTTTACAGAGAGCAGTGTGCACCTAAAAATCAGTTTGTGAAGGTGTTTTATGAACAGATCTACATTGGTTCCCCCCACCCACCCCTGAACCTGCAAGTTAAAGTTTTATGTATGATTCTAAGGAAAAATAAATATCTCTGCTCACATAGAGCTAATCTGTCTTTAGTTTTCGCTGGCTTTTTCCCTTCTCTGTCACTACTCACAAGCTGCTTCTTGCCTCATCCTCCTAGAAAATTCATAGCTCCAGTTTTCTACTCCACTGAGCCTTGGCACACTCATTTTCACAAGAGCTGCAGTAAAATGCCACCTTTCTCACGTGGAAATGCTTTGTTGCTACCTCTCAGAGGTATAAATGACAGCATTGAACAGCAAAGCCTGAATCCTATAAAACAACATAATCTTTGTGCCAGAGTAATCCAATTATTGAGGTTCTGAGATAACCTTAAAGCCATATCAAAATGAAGAAACCCCTTAGGAACTTACAAACATCTGTTTTCCTATCAGAGAGCATCAGCACAAGAACACCCTTCCGTGGTCCCAATCAGCCCAAGCAGCACTCTCATCTTTTACATTCAGCATGCCTTATCTGCTCCTCCATAATAAAATCAGGGTGATGCTTGCACTGATTTCTGCCAGTAGGAAAAGCCTCTGTTGCCTAAATTAAAGCAATGTGGTTCTATGCAGCTCTTGTCTCTGTTCTCCCAGAGGCACTAGAGAATCCCATCTATAATATTTCAAAAAGACATTAAAATAACTTCCTAGGGAACATAAAACATGCTGCTGTTGTGTCCCTGAGCAGGGCACTCTCTCCAGTTTCTCGTTAGCTGATTCCTGAAATTAAATGATAGAATCATGTTTCAGCAGAGCAACTGGCAATTTGGGTCCCACATTTAGGTCCTATTAACTAAATAAGGAATACATTTATTTTTAGTAGAAGGTGCATACAAAATCTAAAAGAAACAGGAAATGTTGATTAAATTAAATGTCAGTGTGGCGTTCTATAATTTAAACTATTGCAGGCACATGGAATGATAAAGAGAAAAGGAAGCCAGATGAAAAAGTTAGGATACTCTCTTTGAGTCGTCCATGCTGAGCAAAAATTAAGTATTACAAGAATCTGTAAACAGGTTTCAGCTTCAATAATGGATTAAAGGCGTGAGCCACAATCATCTATCATGCTACCAGTGGTAACCCATAGATTTAAATGAGATTACTCGTATATATAAAAATAATCATAATCTACCAGGACATGCAGATGAATAAAGACAGTCACAAGGATGGATTTAAGAAGCAGGCTGGAACTTCATTAATACAATATTTTCACATGTCAAACAGTTAAGTGGGCCCAGCTCAGGGATTACAAAGCTACAATTTAGGGCAGATCTTCCCTAATCTCTCTTTTACAGTGAGCTCACATCTGAAGCCCACCCCTCAACCCTTCCCCAGGAAAAAGGAGGCGCACCTAAACCACACAACACTTCCTTTACGTTTGCTTCTTTCCCAGGCACAAATCCAGTGGCAAAGTTCCAGATTTATTTTTTAATTTCAGTCTTAGTCCACAGTAACATGAGCAAAAATAAAGCTTTCCATGATTCCAACAGATGAATAAATATGTATATTCTCATATATTCCATTTCCAAATCCAGCTTCTTAGCCCACCCCTGACTCTGTGGTGCTACAGAGGCCATCAAAACATTTAATCTTCTTCAACTCTGCCCTAATAGAAGAACATGATACCAGAATTTACACCAGAATTCCCCACCAAGAAGCAGCATCCCAAAATCACAGGTAATCCATTGTGATACAAGGAAAGGATTAAGTCCCAAACTTTAATTTCACTTTTGTGCCTGTCAGGAGTGAGAGAACCTGCCCAGCTGGAGGTCTCATGCATATATTCTGGCTGCTCCCTTTCCTTCTTGGTTGTTTACCCCACCACTGGGTTAATTAATTGTGCTTTCCATGGAGCCTCCCCTGGAGGAAGCCCTTGCAGGATGAGAATCCATGTGGTGCTGCTTGCCTAGGTGTGGGCACCAGCAGGAATGTGTGTGGCATGGCTCAGTGACGGTCACTCAGGACTAATTAATGAGGGCAGACCATTCGGATGATGCCTCAGGTTTAGCTTTGATATTTTTCACATTCTGTGCTGCTTTAGTGTGTGGGTCTGAGTTTCACATCAGGGCATGGTGAGCTCTGTGCACAGAGCAGGGAGACAAAACAATTCCTGCTCCAGCTGGGCACCAAGGACAAATGATCGAAATCTCAGCCCAGGAGCACAAACCCCGTGGGCTGGAGAGAGAAAAACAAGCAGGGTGGGACTGCAGGGGCTAAAGCTGGGATGGGACAATGAACTGCAAGGTGCAAATGGAGCAGAACTGATCCCAGGGACAGAGCCCGTGCCCAGCCGTGCATTTTGGGGCCATTTTGGTTCATCTTGGGTGCAGCCCTGGCTGGGCTCTGGTGCTGCCCAAGGTGCATCCATGGAGGAGATGCTTTGAATAAATCCCTGCTTTATTCTGTGACTCTGCCCAGCCTCTGCTCCAGGTCAGCCTTCCCAAGGCATCAGGGGCAGTGCAGACGTGGAACTTCAGACCATGAAGGGATCCTGGTTGTGCACAGCATCCACTTCAAACTCAAACCAAGGCTACAACAAAGTTTTCAGAGTGATTTCCAAGAGTTTTGGGCACTCTTAAAAGACAACAAAAAATTGTGGCATAGACCTTTCCAAAAGGAAAGGTGTCTTTCACTTTTTACATCCAGCCACATTTTCTAAAACTGGTGATTGACTGAAAAAGGGAGGCAATCAAAATAATCTGAGACTTCTGAAAATAGAGGCCAGTTCCTGTGAGTAACTTTTAGCAGGACTGAACAGTTAGTGTCTTATCAGTAGCACAGGAACAGGGATTTGTATATACTGTTTTATTAAGATCATTATCTCTGCAGTGCTCCTTAAAAGAAAACAAAAGAAAAAAAAATTGCCGTAAAAGGACAGAAAAAATGACTCATTTTCCCGTCGTTGCCAAAAGCCTCTAATTTTCAATATAATCAGGCTTTGTGCCACAAGATAGAGCTTTTTTTTTTTTGTTTAATAGATATTTAGGTGCACTAATTATTATTAAAATATATGTGGGGGGAAATGGTGTGACCTTGTTTAAAATTTAGCACATTACTGTAGGATTATTCTCCAGCATGTATGCAATAAATAGTACCCTCAAAAAAACCAAACAAACACAACAAAATCAAACAGAATTAAGTAAAAAATGGCCAAACTTCCAACCAAAACATATTCTTTCTTAGTACAAAGTTTGTTGTCTGAATTTGTGATCATTATTTGAAAAATCAGAGAGCATATACAATTTTTGCTACAGCATTTCTCATGCAAACCTGTTTTCGTGCACTACCATCTTTTGTGGAGTAACGCAGCTCCTAATATCCTTAAATTACTATCATAAAAACAAAAAGGAGAGGAGGTTGCACTGCAATGAGATGTCGTTTGTGTTCCTAACAGGGCAATCACTGATTTAAAATTGGCATTGGAGCTCCTTTTGTGAAA